AATTATATATATATATATATACTTTAAAAATAAAATATTTAAAAAAGAACTCCATGAAGTTGGGTGTCTTTCCTGTCCACTGGTCACTTTCAAACACCATTGTCTTGACTTTGCCTCTGGTCAGTGTATTTAAAGACAAGAGGCTGAAAAAAAAAAAAAAACCACCACAAAAAAAGCCCCCCCTGCAGCATTCTGGGATTTTTGTACAGCAAAAGTGTATCTGTTTAGGAAATCCGCGTTAAAACTATACCACACTTCCCAATCTACTGCTAGTCTGTTGTATGTTTCCATTGGGTTATCAGGATGTGAAGAGCTACTGCCTTTGCGATTTTCTACAGTGAATATATAGATCTGTACAGAGGTATGTATATATATAAATATATATGAAGATCTATATGTATACGTATCTCTCACTCTCTTATCTCTACCTGACTGTGAAGGATTTTTATTGGGCAAAATAAAATGGAGAAAGGCCCCGTTTTAAAAACCCGACTGTGTGGCTTGTCTGACTGTGTTGCGGGTGGGAGACGCGGCAAGACCCGTGGGGGATTTCAGGAGAGACCCACAGCCAGGATGGGAAACTGCAAGGGAGATCTCACCTTGGACATACCAGCACCTTCCAGTCAAGAGCTTCCCCGTGGGTCCCATCCTGGAGGATGGAGAGCAGCCTGGTGTGGTGGAGCGGGAGGGGAGAGGTGGAGGTTGTTGGGAGCAGGGCGGGACATTGTGCGTGTCCGTATCTGGGTGGGATGTTCCCCAGTCCTGCTTTCCCAACACACAAGGGCTGCTCCGGCTCTTCAAGCACTTGAGACCAAGCACCACGAAGCCTCGGTGGTGGTCACAGGGCTGGAGAAAACATCTGTTTGAGGTCCCATAGGTCAGACCCCCATGGATGTGTCTGGAGACCTTGGGGATGTCCCAAGGCTGACTGAGGAAGACACAGGCTTTCCATCAGTCCCATGGCCAATGTTCAAGACGACCCAACATTCATGTAGGTGACTGAATTGCTCCCAAGCCTACCAACACAGGGTCCCAAACCAGGCTGAGACCTGGGGGATTTCCAGGTGAGGACACACTGTGGAAGACAAGACTCAGGTGGAGATGTCAGGCATGGGCCTGGAGCCAGCCATAGTGGTGGGAACCTGGCATGAGCTAACTCCCCTTCCCTCCTGTGCCAAGCCCTCGCTCGGAGCAGCCACCTCTCCCACTGCAGCATCTCTCTGGGGTTTCCCTGGCTCTGGGGCTCAGAGGCTGCCACCCCCCAGAGAAACGTCCGCTATCCTGGGGCTGTGAGTCTGGGAAGGGAGATGGTTTGAGGAAGCTGCTGTCCAGGCTGCAGGGAATGGGGCAGGGAATCGTGAGGTGTCCACTGATGGGCACCCTAATGCTGGGTTGGAGAACAGAGCTGCTTTCCTGGCACAGGCCTTTCATGCAGCTGAAGGAGTGGAAAACACAAGCAGTCAAAACGCATCAAATTTGTGCTGGATCCCCAGATGGTTGGGGTGGGGAGGAGGAGGCTGCCAGGAAGGCAGTTTTGGAGGCTGACCCCAGGCTGCGGTCCATTTCGCCTTCCTTCACAACCAGGGAGTTAACAGAATGTCCCAAAACTCCTGCCAGTTTACAGGTTTTTATTCAAACAGATCCCACCCCAGCTGCTTTGTCAGCGTCACATTAAAGCTACATTGAGGTCAACATTTTTTTTCTAAAACAACCAACAAATCCAGAACTTTTCCCAACATCAGCTTTGCTAGAAAGGTCTCCAGTCCTTTCATGACAAAGCTGATACGTCCCAGGGCAAAGCAAGCGTGTCAGGGATTCCATGATTTCCCTCAGACCAGGTTTAAGGTCCAAGGTACCACCAGCAATGCAAGGCTTTTTATTACAGTTCATCAGAACCACCGTGGCTCTCCTCCAACCCCATCTGGTCTCCTAAAGATGTGATTTCCTCACTTGCCACAGGATAAAAGGCTGAATGTGAAGAAAGGAATTTCACCTAGTAGAAAGATCAGGAAGGGATGCAAGTACCAACTAAGTGACAGACACCTCCACCACACCCCATTCACAACCCCAATCCACACAGGAGTGGAGCAGCCTCCCAGCAGCCTCTCATCGCCCCCCGCACCCCAGGGCTGGACCCTGTCCCACTGCCCACAGTCAGCAGCTACCCCTTGCAAGGGACACGCACACCAGCACTCCCAGGAGAGAGACAGCACCAGTTCAGCCACTCAGGCTGCTGCTGTCTGCTAGCTGATGCCTGCAAGCAGTTGGTGCTAACTGTTGTAATTGGGGCAGGAATGTGCCCAAGGACATAATTCACAGAATCACAAAATCAACTAGGTTGGAAAAGACCTTGAAGATCATCTAGTCCAACTGTTAACACAGCACTGACAGTTCCCAACTCCACCAGATCCCTCAACACTGGGTCAGCCTGACTCTTCAACCCCTCCAGGGATCCCGGGGACTCCCCCCTGCCCTGGGCAGCCCATTCCAACGCCCAACAGCCCCTTCTGCA